AAGTTCGTGGTGAGCTCCGGCACCTCTTTTTCTAGAAAAATAGCGCTGGCAGTTCCAATATAAAAAAAACACATCAGGATTTTTCTCACAAGGCAGTTGATGCTAGATCACCTTGGTGGCCAGGGTGGGAGGGGGAAAGTTCAGCTGTAGCATGTCCTGGGGATGCTCCTTGATAAAAATAACAAGTTGGCCTTACTATGATGAGTAGGAGCAGCAGCCGGAGTGCTAATGGTGTGTTTGTTTCTTTGTTTGTTTACAGCACAAAACAAGCATCCTAAGAGTGGTAATGTTGGCTTAATTCGCAATGGAGTCAGTGCGTTTTTGTATCGCTCTTTGATGCCAATACATTTTAAATTGCCGCTTAGCATGCAATTATTATTACCTGATTCGCTTGCAATTAAATGTGAAGCCATGCATATTAGAAACTCAATTTGGAGATTACTTTTCCATCTGCAAGGGTTCTCAAATGATGTGTATGGGTGTTTCATATTTTTGGTGTGCAAACTGCCGCTGCTCTTGTTTATTGCAGTGCTCTTTGCTAGGCCGTCTCTCTCAACCCTGCGTGCTTTCTATTCCTCCCCGCCCCCCCCATTTCCTCCTCTACCCCCCTTCCCCTCTCCATCTCAGTAACATCCTACACATGGTAGTATTTCCGAGGTTGCAACAACCAGATTGAATTGTCAGGCTTGGCTACTCTGAAACACTGCCAGGCTTGATTCTGTAATCCCTGGAGAATTAGGGGGAAAGGGGGATGGACCATGTCACAATCGCTCACATCATCTAAGCTTGTCATCAGGTCACAGGCTAAAGAGAACAATTACATAACTGCTCAGGCATGGAGGCATGGGCCACATAGTCATTAAGGAAGTCTGACTCAAGCAGGCTGTTCTGCTATGTATATTCACTGCCCTGGGTGTAGGGATGCTTGAGGAATTCTCTTGCTGTCAATCCCAAGGCAAACTAACCTGATCTGCACATGCAAACACCCAGACCAATATGCAGATTGGAATATGCCATTATCCTTCAGACTTCACACCTCCAAATTTTGAAACACAGGTCTAGGCTCAAAAAATGCACCCCAATACGTCAAAAATGTGTTTAGAAATGTGTACATGGAGAGAAAAGTATATATTGCACATGGATTTTCATCTCACCCAGATTTCTCTTTTTAATGGAAGGTTAATGTATACAGAAAAACGAATAAACAAATGCAAAATTGAATGAGACCAGATCCAGTCTGACCTGTACCTGGGTGCAGTGCTGACATCAAGGAAAGTCATTTGTATAAGCTAGTGGTAGATTCTGTCATTTTCTCAACTGCTAATGATGCCATTGTCATGATCCCATTTTTTTCCCCTGTATTGGGGAGTCAAAGCTCGTAAGAAAAACAGTAAAGGTAAAGGGACCCCTGACCATTAGGTCCAGTTGTGACCGACTCTGGGGTTGGGGCGCTCATCTTGCTTTATTGGCCAAGGGAGCCGGTGTACAGTTCTGGGTCATGTGGCCAGCATGATTAAGCCGCTTCTGGCGAACCAGAGCAGCGCACGAAAACGCCGTTTACCTTCCCGCTGGAGCAGTACCTATTTATCTACTTGCACTTTGATGTGCTTTTGAACTGCTAGGTTGGCAGGAGCAGGGACCGAGCAATGGGAGCTCACCCCGTCATGGGGATTCAAACCGCCGACCTTCTGATCGGCAAGTCCTAGGCTCTGTGGTTTAACCCACAGTGCCACCCGCATCCCCAAGAAAAACAGTAATAACATGTAAATGAAATATGTACAGAATACAGCAGTTAGCCATGCCATTTTATAGCACCATCTTTGATTGATCAGTGTTTCGGATAACGCAGTGCACAAGGTAGTCATGGTGGGCCGTTGCAGTGTCCCTGCTCATTTAAGTGGATCAGGATGTGCAAGACAATTAGGACTGGTTTGTACCCTTAATCAACTCTAAATGGTGGTAAAAGCCATTTGAACTAATGAAGACACATGTTGTGAGGTGACAGGCTAAGGACACATTAGTTTGTATTTCAGTCTATTGTTCTTGTGCAGGGTTTCCCAAACTTGGGTCTGCAGCAATTTCTGAACTACAACTCCCACCATCCCTAGCTAGCAGGACCAGTGGTCAGGGATGATGGGAACTGTAGTCCAGAGACAGCTGGAGACCCAAGTTGGGAAAGCCCTATATTGCGTGTGTTACTGTAACAGGATGAAAAAAAAGCCACACATATTAATTATGGCTTTTTATCTGGCCTTTGTTTATCAAATTCAGAGATATCTGCAGCATGCTGTGGTCTCATTAAAAAGGCACTAAACATTGAGATTTGCATAGTGATTTTCATTCGGTTGATCAAAAAGCAGATGATTGCTCAACAAAATATCCCTTAGTTGGTTATCAGTCCTAGATTTCACACACAGAGAAAGTAAATATAACAAAGAAGGTAAGTGCATGAAATATCAGGTGGACAAAAGCATGTTGCTGTAGATAACATTGTTGAGTACTCATGCATGAACCATTAGTAGCTGAGGTAGCACAACACGGTTTTGGGGAATCTTCTGGGAGAAGCTGTACAGGTGGTTGTAGATGGGTGTATCATCCGTTATTTTAATGATTCAACTGCATCCTTTCAAGCATCTATCCAGATGGTGTGTTAACGTTCTCTGCACAATGAGAGTTAACCTTTTGGGAATATCGGCAGAGAGCAAGGGGAGAAGACAGGTTCTGATTCTGTAACACACACACCCAACTCCACTGCCCCAAAAGTGCTTTGTAAGCAAAACCAGACTCTTGCCTGTACTCTGCCGATGCAACAAATTCTACAGATGGCAAACTGGATTAGGATTCCACCCAGCAAACTAACTGGGTTTAATTCAGTAACCCCAGCAGAATCTGTCTGTAAGTACAACGCAGTCCCATATTCAGAATGATTAGCAGGGATTGAAAAATCTCCCTGCTTCCTCATTCTTAATACAGGGGAAAAGCTTTCTGAGATGAATTAGAAAGTTATCTGTCCAGTCCTTTCTCTACAGCACAATACTCTCCAACATTTCACCAATGAAAATAGGGGTGTCATATTGTTGTTGTAAATTATTTATACCCCGCCCATCTGACTGGGTTGCCCCAGCCACTCTTGGTGGCTTCAGACATATATAAAACCATAAGCATTTATAAACTTCCCTATACAGGGCTGCCTTCAGATGTCTTCTAAAGGTTGTGTAGTTACTTATCTCCTTGTCCCAGTGGTCACATAACTCCATACCATCCAATGAAAAGAGTGACATCCTAAGGAAAAGTGGGACATTCTGGGAGCAAATCAGAAACTGGGACAGCTTTTGTAAATCCAGGAGTGTCCCTGGAAAACAGGTACACATCTAGATGTCTTCTAGAAGATTTGAACTACAACTTCCATCAGCTCCAGCCAGCATGGCCAATGGTCAGGGGGTGGGGGAGTTGTGCACCAAACTGTGTGGAGGGCATTGGGTGGGAGAAGCCTGTTTTATGGTTGGTTTGAACAATTTCTGGCCTGCCTTTCAGCTGATGCTTCTAAGGTGGCTAACCATTGCAACCTTGATTCTAGCATCATCAACTGGCAGTGGTGCAGTGCGCTGTGGCATAGCTCTTTATGATACTGAAAGCATTAAGTATACTTTTCAAAGTTCTTCGTTACCAGACGGTGAAAGACTGAAAACAAAGAGATGTTCTCTCACAGGAAACATATACTCTTTCTCTCCAAGGACAGCAGTATAAGGAATGGAAAAAGAGTGCCCTCATGATGCTCTTTAAGCAGAAATGTTAAATGCAATTTGGAAGGGGGGAGGATCTCTGTGAAATAACCAGAAGATATTTTAGACTTCCAGGGACACCTGTTCACATTATTTTACAGCCTCTTTATGTTGCATTTAGCCAGTTTTTGTTGCCTTGGGCTCTTTTCTACTTCTTCAAGGCAGAGCCAATTCCCTCACAGAAAGTAAAGCTCAAGGCAGCACAGCCACGGCAATTTGCTAATTCACTCTGCATGAAAGAGAGAAGAGTCGAGTTCAAGAACTGACATGGGCCTTCTTTTGCAAATATGTGTGTGTGTGTGTGTGTGTGTGCACGTATGTGCGCTTGCATGCATGTTGATATGGTAGAGCACCATTCTCAAAAAGTTCCTGTTGTCTTCGTTAAATGATCAGACCAAGAGATGGTTTACTCAGAGTCACCAAGAGAGTTTAGAGCCTGGTGTGGGTTTTATTGACTCCCCTGTGCTATCCACTTCACTGAGGACTAGGCCTGAACCATGTAAGGGGTGGAGGGCACATTTTGCCATCACTGCAATGCCCATTTGCAGCCTGTTTCTTTTCCTCAAAGCACTTACCCAAATATTCCCCTCTGGTTACAAGCTAGACCTGTCAGTCACAATGGCGCGCCACCTTACCCTTCTCCAATGCATTGGGATTGGTGAGTCTGGGTAAGAGCATCTCTCTGATTGCAAGCTAAACCTGGTGGTCATAAAAGATCTCTCCCTTTCTCTCCCCACAATAGTTTTTTTCCTTATGCAAATTTTGGTTTGGGTATGTGTGTGTGTTTTGGGGCTTGCCTTTGGATATTGCCTGTTGTTTTCCAGCAAAACATTTTATTCCTCTCTGGGAGGTGGGTGTTCTGGGGAAATTGAGTATACCATGGTCCCATCAGACTGTTGGGGGAAGGCTGTGGCTCAGTTGGCTGGATAGAAGAAGAAGAAGAAGAAGAAGAAGAAGAAGAAGAAGAAGAGGAGGAGTTTGGATTTGATATCCCACTTTATCACTACCCTAAGGAGTCTCAAAGCGGCTAACATTCTCCTTTCCCTTCCTCCCCCACAACAAACACTCTGTGAGGTGAGTGGGGCTGAGAGACTTCAGAGAAGTGTGACTGGCCCAAGGTCACCCAGCAGGTGCATGTGGAGGAGCGGGGATGCGAACCTGGTTCACCAGATTACGAGTCCACCACTCTTAACCACTACACCCCACTGGCTCCCATAGGGAAGGCTGTGGCTCAGTCTTAGAGCATCTGCCTTGGGTGCAGAAGGTCCTAAGTTCAATCCCCAGCATCTCTAGGAAGTGCTGGGAAAGACTTCCTGCCTGAAACTCTGGAGAGTAGAAAATACTGAGCAAGGTAGGCCAATAGGCTGCTCAATACAGTCAAACCTCAGATCCCGAACGCCTCCATTTTGGAATCTTTCGGCTCCTGAACACCGAAAATCTGGAAGTAAATGTTCTGGTTTTCAAACGTTTTTCGGAGGCTGAACATCCGACATGGCTTCTGCTTGAGTGCAGGAAGCTCTTGTAACTAATCAGAAGCTGTTCCTTGGTTGTCGAACATTTTGGAAGCCGAATGGGCTTCCAGAACGGATTACGTTCAACAACAGAGGTTTGACTGTATAAAACAGTTTCATAGTTCCTATGTTATATGGGGACATTAATTTTGCTTTTAATTGAAAACATTCTGCCTCGATGTGTAGGGTTGCCATGTTTCAAAAAGTAAAAACCAGGACATCCTAAAAGTTGATGAGGTTTTTTTCCAGGAAACCCTAGAAGTTGAAAATCCAGACGAATCATGTGACATGTTGAGGGTTCCTGTTTCAGTTCAGGGCACTTTCGCGCAGATCCCACTACACCTTACACAACCCCAGAATCACACCAAGGCACCTCATTTCATTTCAGGATTTGTCCAACTTCAATGCACACTCCATATAAAAACATTTTCCAGTGGGATTTCTTTGGATGCTGCTTCTAGATTCCATTCCAGGCTGCTGTCATTGTAAATGCTTGGTGGGCAGTTGAAGGGGGAAAAATCCATATCAGTATGTGTGTGTTTGTATAATCGGTAGGTTACAATAAACTGGAGCTAGATGTAGCACTACTTCATGATGGATTAAAATGACCAGTAATGTTTGTTTTTTTAATTTTTTAATCAAGGCGCTTAAGTTATTTTTTTCATAGAGAGGTGGGATGCCAATTCTCTAAACCAGTGTTTCCCAAACTTCCCATCTGTTTCTGGACTACAGTTCCTATCATCACTGACCACTGGTCCTGCTGGCAAGGGATGATGGGAGTTGTAGTCCAAAAATAGCTGTAGGCCCAAGTTTAGGAAAGACTGCTCTAAGCAAACAAAATCATTTCTGCCTTTGTTGTTGGATGGGATGGGCATTCGCATTCGCACATGTGAGTCGCCGCTTGGTATTGTGATCACTAAGTGAAGAAAACACAGGTATAATGAAGCCTTGTATTACAGACCTATGAGAATGCATTTTAAAAAATGATCAATGAAGCACAAAGAAAATGAATGACTGAACAAAGGTTAATGAGCAGATGGGGGAGGGGAAGGTTTGTGCTGGACCCAATCACATTACTAGTTTGTCGCTTTCGTGGATGCCTTTGACTGTTACACTTGCTTTTCAGCCTTTCTGGGAAAAAATGATTCTGCCATGATCTGCACTCTGAAAAAAATTTTCATTTTCAATTAGTAAACTGGTTGTCACTTAATTTTGCCCTTATTTCCGCAAGTAAACAGCTTCTAACAACTCTTCTTATCTCTTTTCAAACAAAGGTCTTTGTTAAAAAGAAAGAAAGAAAGAAAATAGGAAAAAAGAGGAGATGAAAGTACAACAGTAGATATGAGCAATTCGAATGACGCCAAGGACAACTTGCATAATCAAAATTATAAGCGCATTCCCTTCTTATCCCCAAACAATTTAGTTTAGCTTGTCCTGTGTCAGCCTTTGAGATATATCTGTTAATTGCTCTGTTGTGCAATGAGTCAACTCTAAGCCTTGGATTGCTGCACTGTGCACTAGGAAATGAAAGGTATTTTGATTAGCTTTCCTTCCTCACATTTTGTCTTGGTACGGGCAATTGTCACGAGGCTGGACTCGAGAATAAAAGGAACAGAATAGTTGTGATCATAATACTTTACCTGGCTGATTATTGTTGGTGCAGGGCAGGCTATGGAGTCAAGACAGCCTCTGCATTTGCCACAGGCAAAGAATTCCAACAGGGAATATGGCTTCCATCCACTGAAGGCCCCACTTGCTGGAATGATTAACAGAAAGTGCAGTACTTTTAGGAAGGAGAATAAGTTGGGATATGAAAGGTCCCAAGTCAATTCCATGGTATCCAGGAAAGGGAAAGACCCCTGTCAAACTCTTTAGAAGTGTACACAATGCAGAGCTTGATGAGTCAATAGACTGTTTTGGTGTGAGGTGGGTTCCTATGTTCTGTGTTTCAACCAGGAAAGGAGACTAAGTTAGGTATTTTTGTTTGGCTCTGTATAGGAGGGGACACATTTGGCCCAAGGGGCCAGCTCTGTGGCATAGGTAGAATTCTTCATCAGTAGCTTTGACATTGAAGTTGATAAGCTTCCAGGCTTGTGCCTCCAGAGAGACATTTTGACACACGTGGGCAGTGTCTGCCAGAGGCAGGTTGTACAGCACATCTGACAGTCATGATTTCAGAGCTCTGTGCATCTCCTTGTCTCGCCACGGTAGCAGGACCAGGATAAGTGGTGCATAAAATAGGCAAACATAGTCAAGCTGTGTTGATTTGCAGAATGTATAAATTTGGGCTTTTCATGCAGAATTTGGATTCTCTTGTTGTGTACACAGTGGCTATACATTTGAGTGTTCATCCGTACGTTTCCTGCAAAATGCATGCCAACGTTGATTGTTTTCTTTTCCCAGTGCCCCTGAAAGGTGTTAGAACTGTTTAGCAGAATTCCTGATCACGTATAGAAATAAATGAGCCTTCCACTCCAAGAATAAGTTTCAAAGCTTTACTGCAGAACAGTCTTAAAATTAGTTACATGTAACATTGAACGTTACAAACACATGAATCTTCTGTTTAGCTCCTGTGCATTGAGAAGAATGCCTAATGCTCCTGAAGAGGAGCCCATTATATTTTATGAAAGGAGCCTTGGCATCTTCAAGGCTTGGCCTTCTTATTTCAGCATCTGCTTCCAGAGGCAAAAACTTCTTTAAACCGAAATACTCCAGACATGATTTTGCACTACTTGGTCTGTTGCTCCATGAAAAGAGATGGGGGCGTGCATGTCTGTCTCACAGCATTTCAGTTGTCTGAAGACCTCTATCATGTTTCCCCTTAAGCTTATTTTTTCTCCAGGCTAAGCATACCTTGTTATTTTGACCATTCCTTGTTGCACAAAGTTTCCAGACTTCCCACCATCTTGTTCGTCCTCCTTTGGACATGCTCTGTGAAATATACTCGGAGTTGAGTAGTAATTTCATGCTCTTTATTTCAGCTCATAGGAACAGTGATTGAATTCCCCCCTGAACCTCAGGCTTTATATACATTATTTACACAATGAGTACCGTCTGATTGGTTGATTATGTGTCCCTCCTGGAGCCTGCAGGAGCAGCCCAATCAGTTGTTGCATCCTAGTATCCTACCGGCCTAATAGGCTGATTAACTTCCTCCTGGGGTCTGATTGGGCTGCTCCTGAAGGCAATCAGGTTGTTGCATTCTAGGATCCTACCTGCCTATTGTTCTAGGATCCAAGCTTAGTACATAACACCCTAGTTTGTCAGCATTCTCCTTAAGATGCTGACTCCAGAATGGGGCCCAGTACTTCAGATGCAGCCTGACCAGTGCAGTGTAGAATGGAACTATTTCTTCCAGTGATTTAGATACTAAAGTGATGGCAACACCTTTTTTTTAGCAGCTGCTTTTCTTTCTTTTTTTAAAAGTATTTAAGTCGGCACAGACTCTTGGCTATTTTTAGTGTTAGCATCTGGTCACATGGAACACTATCTAGTCACACCGATACTTTCTTTCTGTTCGTGCAAACTTTGCAACACGTCTTTAAAATTTCCTCAGGAAGCTGCCCTTTTATGGTCCATAACTCAGCATTGAATTCAGGACCTTTTGCATGCAAGGCACACTGTCTGCTGCTGGGCTGTGAGCCTTCCCTAAGGGCTTCATTCTGTCCTCGTGCAATAGCAGGCTGGCAACTCCAAATGATGCTGAACTGGGGTTGGCTCAGTTGACTACACAGGCATTCTGAGCCACCAGCGTTCTTGGAGTGCCCTTTGAACTTGCCATCTGCTTCGTACACTGCCATTTACCTGTGGAATATGTTAATGTGTGGGCAAAACATCTGCACCCCTTCTGCATTCAGATCGGAAGCATAATTTTGCAATTAGGTGATCTTGTAATGGATAAAGTGGCATGCATGTGAAGGATGCCTAATTGCTTACATTAAGGAGACACTTGTAGTGGGCTGTCAGTAAGGGCTTGGTGTGGCTGAAATCACGTTTGACTATTTCCTTCTCTTTTTTTGAAACACATTAGCTTCCCTAGGAGGTAACATAGGAGATTAATGTTACTGGCAAGCACCTTGTTTAAATGTGTCTCTTTATGATTGCACATGGACAGTTGGCTCATATAAATCCAGGCACAGTTGCTGCTTGTAATCCTGGCTGGTCAAATTCTCCTTCTGCTGGAGGCAGCATCTCACTGTGCTGAATCCATCCTGACTTAACCAGATATTACACAGTTTGGCACAGTAGTCCATTGCTTCCACTACTGTCAGGAACTAGCAGGGCTACAGCTGGGATCTATGAATCTATACTCTTCTCTGCTATGAATCCACTCAGACCTGCCCATCAAATAGTTCACAGGGCTATGATGTCCTCCCATGCTCTAGAACAGTGTCTCCCAAACTTGGGTCTCCAGCTGTTTTTGGACTACAATGGCCATCATCCCTGACCGCTGGTCTTGCTAGCTAGGGATGATGGGAGTTGTAGTCCAAAAACAGCTGGAGACCCACATTTGGGAAACACTGCTCTAGAATGACTCCACATTCCCAGGGAGCCCATTGGTGACCCCCGCCCCCTGATCTAGTAGGTGTATAAAAGCTTCAGGGGCAGGCTTGGGCTTTGCTTTGGTCAGGGAAGGGGAATTTGTGGCCCTCTAGGTGCTGCTGGACTCCAGCTCCCATCAGCCCTAGCCATCATGACCAATGGGCCATGATGAAGGGAGTTGTGGTCAAATAACATCTGGAGGGCTGCAGGTTTTCCACCCTTGGCTTGGGTAACAGGCA